GGAATTCCCATTTAATATTTAATATTATATTGCCTATGGCTTAGGATCCACATACCCCTCCCTTGAAAGAAGCACTTTACAAAATAATAAAGTTTGCACAAAAAGAATAAGATTTACAATGTAATAAAATTTCGTTACTTTAGTCAATACAATTTTCAGTAAAAATATAGCATGATCAGATAGTTTAATCAGTTTCCATTGGATCATTTAAAAAGTCTGAGATATCATATCAAGCAAATCTTCTTCTTCACCTAACAATCGAACAGATTCTTCAGATCCATCAGGATATATCAATTGAACAGATACAAAGTTTTCAGTGCAGAGAACATATATATCATGCTTTTTACGTTGTTCTGGCTCTGAAGCATCCATTCCACTATTACGAAAATCAATAAGTGCCCACTTATCTGCATGTTTAAGAATAGGGACATATGTACCACCTTCTTTAAACCTTTGTTGATGTTCTAACTGTCTATCTCCCATTTTTTCTTGCCATTTACATAAAAGTCTATGTAACCCTTTGATCCAAAGCATGCTCCAGCATCTACAGAGGCCATAAGTATCTTCAGATAAAATCTGCATTGAGGCACAGTAAAATTCCATTTGCCAGACACGTTCAAGAATATGGTCATCTGTGCCTCTGCCTTTACTTTTTTGCAATATTTTTGGATTCATTTTTGCAAAAACTAATTTGATAAATTCATTGAATGTACTAGAGGTGATTTAGATCAGCTTATTGCACCAAAACAGTTTTGAAGGTATGTTACTCAGAGCAATGGTGCTGGAAAATCAAGCAGTGCAATATGTGATTTGTTTGAACTTGTATCAACAAGTGCATTGGTCTTAAGAAGTTGACCATCATTTGGAATTTTCTCTGTTTCATCAACGATTCTTCTTTCTTCATATGAAAGATCAGAAGCTGGATAAAATGCATGGATAGTCTGGAAATATATACCATATATAAATTGTTTAGTAAATACAACTAGTTATTAAAATAATATAAAACCAGTCTGCAGTAAAGATTTCTATTTATGCTTTCAATTTTAAAAAAATTTTCTAGTCTAGTCTTAATACTTACATTACTTTCAAATCAATTACAATTCTTCAAACAGAACGTGGACTGGTGTTAACTCAAAGCTGTCAAATCACAAAGGTGATGTACCACATACAAATTTTCGTGTTGCTGCATGTACAAAAATTTACCATTTTATCATGTTAGTAACAATTAAAGATGGGAATCACAATTAGCTGCAATCACATTTTCATATGCCACAACTATAACCACAATTTAATTTTCATGTGCTGCAACTAGTCTCAATTAATCGAGGAACCATCTTTAGTAGACCACTTGAAAATTTATTTATTAATTAAATTTATTCAAGAATTTATCCATTTTATTAAGGGTAGGGGAAATCACGTGATAAATCAATAGTAAATCATGGATCAAAAAAATTTTTTATTGGTTTCAATGTTGATCATTACAAAATGTCTAATAAGTTTTCCTATTACTATGATAATAATAAATTAAGTATTTTAAATGTGAAATGAATATTTGTTACTAAGGGATGAGTATATGTTAATATGGGATGAGTTATGGGATGAGTTTCTCTAATTAGGGATGAGTTTTGTTTTTTTAAGAATTTTAAAAGAAGATTTTATTCAAAAACACTTTCAATAACTACTATACAGCAGAATACATTTATAAAATAACACAGGAGTCATTTGAATGCATCTCATGTAGCTTTGCCTTAAGACAATTATTGATTTTGGAAAAGTCAAATTTTGATCCTCAGAATTTGTATTAAATTATCACGTGATTACCCCACCCTTAAAACAAGAAGATAACACATGAACACTAAAATGGCCGAGCTGCTAAATAGAGTTGGTCAAAAAACCCCTTCAAGC